AATTGGCACACTGGGTGCTATCCCAAAAGCACTGGAAGTACATGTTAAACGGTTAAAAATTGACAAAATCACCATCAGTCAAATGCAAAAAGCCGCACTGCTTGGATCTGCATGCATGTTACGAAAATACGTTATGACGTCCTAGGCCCCTGGGTGGGGCCCGACTAGTAACCAATGCCAAATCCGGCGAAACAACTGGCCGCTGTGATATAATTGTGATAATAATAATAATAATTTGGAAGATTGCAAAAAAGGATCAGAGTGCAAAGGTGCTCACCCCCCCCCACTCTCCCCAAAAGGCAACTGGACTTTTTTGGTTTCCTCCTTGAAGGCGTTTCACTTCTCCTCCAAGAAGCTTCTTCAGTTCTGACTGAATGGTGGAGGGTGGAAGGATTTTTATTCCTTGCTGTCCTCTGGTCATTAGTACTCTCTCTGAGAGTCCTTGAGGTTTATCTCTGTCACCTGAATAAAAGTAGTCCTCCACTTATGGACTCAGTTGAGCCCCAAATTTGTGTTGCTAAGTGAGGCTTTGGTTAAGTGAACTTTGCCCCGTTTTACAACCTTTCTTGCCACAGTCGTTAAGTGAACCACTGCAGTTGTTAAGTTAGTAAAACAATTGTTGAGGGAATCTGGCTTCCCCCTTGACTTGGCTTGTCAGAAGGTCGCAAAAGGGGACACCGCAACCGTCATAAATATGAGTCTCTTGCCAAGCGTCTGAATTCTGATTACATGAACATGGGAATGCTGCAGAGGTCAGAAGTGTGAACATTGGCCATAAGTCATTTATTCAGTGCTGTTGTAACTTCAAATGGTCACTAAATGGACTGTTGTAAGTCGAGGACTTCCTGTATTGCAAATGGAGGTGGAACCTTCTTGGAACTAAGAAAAGTTCAGTTGCTCTTTGGGGGAAAAAAGTTTTTTTGGGACAACCATGAGCAGAATGAGTGAGAATCTCCACAGATGATCACAGCACAAATGATAACCAATAAAATTGGTACCTGCAACATTAAAAGTAATTAATGCAAAACAGCAACAAAATTAAAATTAAAGCGAATCAAAAAGCAAAGGAAAGGAAAGAAGGAAAGGAAAGGAGAGGAGAGGAAAGGAAAGGAGAAAAGAAAGGAGAAAAGAAAAGAAAGAAGAAAGGAAAGAAGGAAAGGAGAGGAAAGGGGGGAGGAAGGAAAGGAAAAGAAAGGGGGAATTGAAGGGAAGGGGGAAGGAAAGGAAAGAAGGAAAGGAGAGGAAAGGAAAGAAAAAGAGAAAAGAAAGGAAAGAAGGAAAGGAAAAGTAAGGAGAAAAGAAAGGAAAGGGGAAAGGAAAGGAGAAAAGAAAGGAAAGAAGGAAAAGAAAAGAAAGAAGAAAAGAAAGGAAGGAAGAAAAGGGAAAAAGGAAAGGAAAGGGAAAGGAAAGGAGAAAAGAAAGGAAAGAAGGAAAGGAATGGAAAAGAAAGGAGAAAAGAGGAAAGGGGAAAGGAAAAAAAGGAAAGGAAAGGGGGGAAGGAAGGAAGGGAAGGAAAGAAGGAAAGGAAAAGAAAGGAAATGAGAAAGGAAAGGAAAGGAGAAAAGAAAAATACTGCCATGTTTTAAGGATTCTAACAGAATGTAACAAACTGCTACCTTAAATATTTAAGAATATATGTTAAATAATTTGCTGCCCCTGCGTTACAAAAGACACTTTATTCCACCGTATTATTGTAAAATATATAGAGATAAAAAGGAAATTATCTAATAACGCCACCGTATCATTGTGAAATATCAAAGCACCAAAGGAGAAGATATTGCTTTCTTCTTTCATAAGTTGAAAATATTGCTTTTTCTGGAATGGGAGAATGTCATGTTTCTAAAAGCCTATCTCTAATGTATGAGAATGGCAGGTTTTGTGTTTGTTGTGTTGTATTTGTTGTGATTGTGTCTCTTGTGGTTTGTTGCGTTGAACCCAGCAGATCCAAAGGTTGTTCCTGGGAGAGATTAATCAGTCAGTCAGTCAATCAATCAATCAGAATAGACCAACCAACCAACCAACCAATCAGAATAGAGCTGGAAATCAATCAGTTTGTTATGTTGTATTTGTGTCTCTTGGGGTTTGTTGTGTTGAACCCAGCAGATCCAAAGGTTGTTCCTGG